CTGGGCTCGTGTGCGCTCGGCTCGCGGCAGTCTTGTGACCTCCACGGGAGGCGCTTGCCAATCGCTGCAGGCCCTCCAGGTGGGCCTGCTTGATTAAAGTCAAAACCTCTTTGAATCCCTGTTGCAGGCCCACGTCTGCGGTGAAAGCCAGCGCTTGGAGACCAGCCATCGTGGCATGCAGGCTCCCATCCCAGGCAGCCTTCGACCAGAGGAGGCCTGTAGACCCGAGCTCCTCCCGAGCGCGTCGGCACGCCATCCCCGCGCGCTTTCGGATGACTCGCAGGCCCCTCACTGAAACACCGGTGGGCGACCCCGCCACAGCCCTTGGGGCCAGCTGGCGGATCGCGGCGAGGGAAAGAGCCTTTCCTCCAGAGGCATGGGGGCCCGCATCGATCGCCGGCGTCGGAGAAAGGCTGGTTCCCTGAGCAGTATTTGCATCCGGCGATGGCTTCTGCAACGAAGCAAGAGTACCACGTGTTAGTCACAACCCACAGCACCCAGCACTCTCTACCTTCTGAGGGCCTGGAAGTTGGGCGGCACATGCCTGCCAATCAGATGGCCCACGGGTTCTCCCCTGACCCGTGTTAAGACGTGCGGCCGGGCTCGCGTGTGGTCCACACCTTGCAGGTGGCAGAAGCCTCAATCTCTAAGAACCACTTACAAGGTGTGGACTTGAATCAGAACAGGTGGCAGAAAGCGCATGTGCCTACCACCCCCCAAGCAATTGAGCTCTGGCCGGACTTGCTTACGGTCCAGACCTTGCAGATGGCTTAAGGCTGGATCCCTAATCACCATATAACGTGTGGACCCATTTCAAAAGAGCGATCAATAACTGCATGCCCCGCAAATCGCTCCATTTAAGCGTGGCCTACACCTCGCAGGTGGCGCAAGACTGGACTCCTAATGATAATGACAAGGTGTGGCCCCAATTTAAAGCAGGTACCAGAGATCGGCGTGCCTGCCATCTCCTCCAAATTCCAAGTTGTGGCCTGGCTTGCATGTGACCCACAGGAGCTGAAGACTTCATTTTTCTAGGAACCAGTAGCAACATGTGGGTTCATTCCAAACGGGGCAAATCAGAAAGTGCGCGCCTGCGGAAGCTCTCTTGCGGCTGGGTATGCTGATGGTCCACACGTTGTAGATGGAGCAAGATTGAAATCCAAAGAACCAGACACAAGGTGTGGACCTGTTTGGAAACCATTGGACAGAGAACACATGCATGCAACCACCTGCAAAAGCCACACCTTGGCCTCGCTTGCTGACGGCCCACACCTTTGCAGATTGCTCAAGACTCCATTCCCTAAAAACCAGTTTCAACGTGTGGACCCTCCTCAGAAGAGCAACCAGAGAACACATGCCTGCCACTCCCCCATAAAGCCACGCTGCAGTTGGGTCTGATTACGGCCCACACCTTGTACTTGGTGTCAGACTGAATCCGTATGGCCACTGACAACATATAGACCCAGTCAAAAGCCCAACCCGGAGTACCGGGCCGCTAACCTCACAGCCCTGACATATGGACCAGCGCAAAGATTGCATAAATGATCCAGGCCACTTGAAACACCTTTGTGGGAAATACCTGAAGGCAATTATATCTCGTAGGGCAGAGAACCAACCTGATTGTTTTGCTTGCAGCAGCTGCGGTCTTCCCCCTGACGGGCCGCATCAGTGGGCTGCACAGCCATGGGCTCTCCTGATGGCAACGCGTCTCCAGCGGCTGTCGAGCCCAGAACAAGGCAATGAACCCAGGGCAGCTCCTTGAAACCAGCCTGTTGCACCTGAGTGTTTCCTTTGCCAGGTCCGCGATCAATTGACATTGAAACTGTATGAGAGAAAGGACATGTACACTTTCAGTCCACAGTCCTCAGAGACCACAAAAGCAAACATAACTGGCCCTCTGCCACGAGTTTCAATGACGGACAACAGGCCTCAATCATCCCCCAAATCCAGGCTGTCAAGCCCTGACCAACATCCGTTCATGACTAGCTGAGCCACATGTTCTGCAGCAGTATAAGGAGCACCATTTAAGATTCCAAATCACTCTGGTGATTGCTAACGGTCTTTCAGACACTTATCAAGTTGGTTAACATGTGAAATCCCGCTTGACATGCTGATGAGGATGCAGAACAGTCTTGTCATTAGAGCTTGCATGCAAAGCAGAATATTGCCTCTACTTGAAACAGCACCTCAAAAGAAAGAATTGTCATGCACGCACACTCAGCGCTTGCAGAAATAAACAGGTACTAGGCCTGGTTCCCTTGCAAGCATGCTGCAGCTGAGAAAACAATCAGGTAGCATTGTGTCCAGGAACTTACCTTCGCACATGTCGCGCGCCTTTCAGGACTTTGGGGGTCATCGCTTTTCTGACTGCCACTTCTGGTCCCTTGCCAAGGCTCTACAAAGAGAAGGTTTCTTGGAATGTCCCAGAACCAGATGTGGGAATCCATAACCAGGCAAGCAGCAAAAAACAGCTTCCGCGCCATGCCGCGCTTTGCCATACTATGCCACCAAAAGTGTCACCTGTCCCAAAACATCTAAGTGCTGACTCAGCCCCAGAAGTTTCCAGAATGGGAGAATATCTGGGCGCTGATTCAGCCCTGGAACCTTCATGGAACGAAGGCTGGACCTTTCGCAGCCATATTAGCAGCATTTCAATGGCTGGCCCGAGCGGCAACAGGGCCTGACTTGGCAGCGATGGCGCCCCCGCTAGACTGGGTCTAAGCTTGTGTTACACAGCACCTGCCAACAGACAAGCTCCCAAAGCTCTGATGTTGGCAGGCAGTGATACCCCCACAATATGCTCGGAGCACACATGTAAGCCTCGTTGCTGTCAGAGGGACCCCCTTGATGCTGAAGGGGGAGTGCTGTGGCAAGGGACAGGAGCTTTCAGGGCACTTTCGGGCACCATTACCGCGGCCTGAATGGTAATGGTAGGGGCTGAACCCTCATTTCCCGCGCAGCTTATACCGAGGGCACCGGACCCCGGGCCGTCGGGCAGATCACCCGGGGGAGTATTGTTATTGTTATTATAGTTGGTTTGGAATGCAAGGTCGCGCCAACTGTCTCTTGGCTTGCTGCCCCTTATGGCGCATGGCACATAGGCCGGAAGGGCGAATAGGAAGGGCGGGGCCTGATGTGGCCGGTATGGACTGACCGGGATGAGTTGGAAAGATACGGATGCTGACGGAGTGACGATGTTCACGAATCTGCACGGGCGCTTGTCGCCGCGCAATTTGCACTCGCGCTTTCCGCTGGGACAACGTATTTGGCTTAGCTGGGGCTGCTGGGCCCTTCTTCGGAACAATGATCGCAGCAAGCGCACTTGCTGACTAATTTGAGACACTTCGAATGGATCTTAGTGCATGCTATAGTGGTCAGCATCACTTTTTGGATTTCACATGTGGCTTCGAATGTTCTAGCTCAACTTGTTTTGCACTGAAGGCAATATATATGAGTGTATTAGGTGAAAAAGTCGCAGCATTCGGTAGCTGCGGTCCATGATAACACCTCATCAACCGCACCACCATGCACCTTTCCTCTCAGAAGGCTGCAAGACTGGCGGGTTTATATGGTATGCTATGAGATAAGCAACAAAGCGCTCGGCATGATAGGTTTGAGGGCCAATTGGGCATGTTTCTTTGCACCGCCATGCTATACAACGAAGCCTCAACACCAATGCAGAACAAAGTTTGTCCGAGCTTGCGCCTAGATTGCCTCCATGCTCTCTATCAATCGCAACATCTATGGTGGATGTGCAAAAAAGCGCACGAAACTATTAGCAATTAAAAAATGCGAACTAGCTACTCTACATAAGAAAGATTGGAGGCCATATTGATACTTGTATGCTCTTGAGTACAAAATGCCAAGCAATCTGCACCAACCACGCTAAACAGGAGGGCTTAGAGCTGCGAGGTGCATTTCAGTATCTCAAGTGACCACAATACGCAGCGGGCAGGAGTTCTTTGCACGGTCAACATGGGAGAACCACTTTTTGCCGGCTTGGCCGGATGCCGAAGGTTATGTGCAATAGGACTTTGACTGTTTGGCAAGCTTCAGCGGTGAAGAGGCAAAGCCGATGCGTACCCTATCTTGCCGTATTTGGGGCTTCTCGCGGGCGCCATTTGTGTGCCCGGCTGGACCCACCTTAGCAGTGTAACAAGGGAAGCTTGCTCTCAAGCAGTCCTGGGTGATGGGTATTTGCCGCCAATTAAAACCTTTGCGAACAAGTCGAATCACAAGCCGTCACCTTCGACCCATCAGAAGTACTGTGTGCTCTTTGTTGTTACCATAATCAACAATTGCCCTCTCGTACTTGGAGTCGAAGAGAACATGGCAGACCCCTGGACCCCTCGCCCGTCTTGGCTTCCCGGTCTTGTGGTTGCGCAAGTCCACCACAACCCATGCGTCGATCTGATTGCCCTGGATCATGGGATGATATCGCCCGTTTGGCAGAAATCTGCACAAGGCCAACATCCGAGTTGCTGAGGGAGACAATTGTGTAGCCGCTACAAGTTTCTGTGCTCTTGAAGAAGTGAATCTGTTGCAGCTTGTGGTGAGAGCGAGAAGTGGGCATATTGGGCTGATGCGGATGAGCAGAATTGCTCGCCCTTCCAGCCTGAAAGATGAGGGCATAACCTTCTTCATGCTTGCGACGTATCCGACAGTTGCTTCACTACTTCTTGAAGCATCACAAGGACCAACTGAAGATGCTTACAGCCCTGATGTGCGCACCTTTTTAGATGCTCTGTCAGGTCCCTCCCGTCAATCAGCAGCTCAAATGCCCATTTCATCCCCGTCCCGTGCAACACGAAATCCACGTAAGCCTCCAACCCATAGATCTTGCCGACTGTCGGGGAGAAGTAGACCCCCTCTGGTAACAGACTCGTGACCGCCCTGTTTCAGAGGAAATCTTGTTAGCCCGATTGGTGCGTGGCTATGGTGCATTGGGGCAACGGGGCCGGAATCTGGGGATCATCCCACTCGCATAAAATCTGATTCGTTGGTTGAAGGCTGGCAGCAATATCCAGCTGAGAAAAATACATCGGGTACCAATTGAGGAACTTAAAGCTAGAACGGAAAGTCGAAGCGGAACGACAATTCAATACGGAAACGGAAGCGGAAACGGAGGCAAAGGCAACGAAATCGAATTCCGCTACTCTGGGAGCAGAAGCGACTGCGAAAACCGGAACGAAAACGGAAACGGGTTCGGAAGCAGAGCCGGGTGAGGACCGGAGCCCCAGCTTAAGGGCGATTCTAAAGTTGGTGCCCGGTTGGAATTCCGTTGAGGCGGGGATGGGGTTAGAAACGAACCCGGAACCGGAACGTCACCTGATAGTGGTCGGAAACCCGCTGTGTGAGATGACGGGAAAGAAAACAGATAGCGGAGAGATGAAGAGGACCCTTGGGGCGCACAACCGGGGGAGAGCACCGGGCAGCGAGGAGAGTAAGGAAACGGGCAACCAGCCAAGCGGTTTTAAATCAGCGCGCCTAGTGGGAATGCGGATGAATGGGGCTAGCCGTGGTTTCAGACCACACCATACGAAGAGCATTTCTGCAAGGTTACTACGAGCCACCGACTCGCTACGAGCCACCGACTCGCTACGAGCCACCAAATTGGTTCGATGGGGTTTGCCGTTGGACCGAGTATCAAGGGCAAATCTCTATCGCAAAGAGATGGAGTAAAATTGACACATAACATCCGAAGCAATACTCGTGGTTTCGGGGTCACTGTTTGAAGCCGCCAATGTCTTTGGAGTAAGTAAGTGACCGGCTATTCTTTCCGCAGGTTAGGGCCACAGACCAGTAATTCTGCGGCTGGAAAAAGTACTTATCTCGAAGCAACATCGGTGGCAAGGGAACACAATCTGCATCATATCCGACTCGTTGGCTGAATGCTGGCAGCAATTCCCAAACAATTTGCGATGCATTCCACAAGTGATCAGTGGAGACTCACGAGTACAGCTCAAATTGGAAATGCGACTCGAGCACACCCCCCACTACACCGCCCCTCGTGCTCAGGTTCAGGCTGTTTTGTAGCGTAGGCGCCTGCATCTTGGACAGAGCCTCCTCCAGAAACGCCTCGAGTGACCCCGGCATGTCCTTGGGGGTGCCCCACACCCTCCTGGCCAGGTTGTAGCGGAAGAATTCCAGGTGCAACCCGCTGGTGAAGGACACGCTGTCCTTCTCCAGGAGGAGATACCCCGACTTGCCGAAGTCCTCCGCCTTGTCAGCGAGCAGCGGGTTGCTGCGCCGCAGAGCCTCCAGAGATTCCTGCAGAATTGGCGCGTCACGAGCGACACAATCCAAACGCGACGGAACAAGCATTGGCTCAAGTACTATACCGGCACGGGAATCTACACCCAGCAGCCGCAAGTAATAATATTCGTTTTTATTTTCATTTCATCCTTGACCTGAACCGGCTCGTTTACCTGCCGGTTAACAGTGTTAAGTTTAGCAGAATCCCTCAAAATAATTTTTCACACACTTCGCACAAAACCCAAACTATTATTTCTGGTCGGATTCTAGTGCAGGTACTGTAGTCGAGCACTCAAGATGGATGTGAGAGCCACGAGGCTGAACAGACTTAACGCCTGCACCCACCTGGCCACGGGACGCCAACAGGTGGCTGATCAGGTCGAGCGCCTCGCGGTCCCTCACCAACTCGCTCACGCTGAAGAAGGATACACAGAATCAGGCACCACCACCAACTACATGTGTCGGCTTGGTGGACCTACGAAGGCGTTGCCGGATGAACGAAGCGCGATAAGCACATGAACAAGCCCAGAGAGATGCATGCAAGAGGTTTGCAGATGCTGCTTAAATGGTTACTATCGCGGCAGCAATGGGCCTGCGATTGAATACGGACACAGCAACATTGGCTGGCTTTCTTACGAGGGAAAGGATCGAGTCCCAGAAAGGGAGTCTAACAGCCTTGGGGATGCCACAAAGTCCACCGCCTTTGCGGCCCATTCCGCCGCCCTCCCAGCGTAGTTCGACGGAGAATGGCCCTTCAGCAGGTCTAGAACATGGAGGACGCTACCCGGGTGCCGCTCGGTAGTCGCCTCGATGACATCGCCAAGCGTCCGAAGCTGGCCCTCGTCACTGGCGAAGCCAATGTTGTGGATGAATGAGTCAAGGACCTGCCCGTACTCTTCCATGGTGAACTGGACGGCAGGCTCGGGAGAGTTGCACCCTGCTGGGGTTGCAAAGCCGGGCCGGGGCCTGGAGCAAGAAAAACGCATGTGA